TTTGCAAGGAAAAAAAATTCTGACACGTTTAATTTATTAGTTAATATCGTTATATAAATACTCAGTACAAACGTTACGCCATAATTCACAACAATAATTTCACTATGCATATACAAGAACTCTTCATGTGCAATGATTATAAACCAGTGCACCTGTCACGGGGCAAACGGAGTGAGGCACTCAAATCTTTTCTGCACGTGTCTGCTCTCTGCGCATATGCATGAGCCAGCAATCTGCTTTATTTAATGTGTCCCATAAATAGCAGCAATTGTGCTCCCTTCATCACCGGTCAATCATCGGAAAATTCCCTTTTTACCGCAAAGTTTGCGCCCTTAATGTCACAGGGAGCTGATTCAATTGAGTGATGTTTGATGTTTCAATGTTGCAGAACTTCATAAGAACATCGCTGAGCGTTGTCCACGCTGTCGTGTGGGTGCTTCAAAGAGGCTCGGACGGCAGCGGTTTCATCCTCCGTATGATTTAAGAAAAAAAAATTTCAAAATATGCCGTAGGTGTGAAGCTGCGCCTACAAACAAGTTGGGCTTATATTTATAGCATCAAAGTAGCGAATTTTCCATTTAAAATTAAGTGGCTATACAATGATTCAAAGAATAGCCTCATGCGCGTCTGTAAATAAAATTATATATGCGTACATATCAATCGTTTATTAATCAATAACGTAAGAATTGAATATAAAGGCGCGTTAAATTAAGGCAAAAGGTTCTTTCTGTCACCCTTTCTCGTGCATGCAGCAAGATATCTCAAATCTGTTTAAAATATAACGAAAATTAGTGAGAGGATATAGCCAGCCAGCCCCATAAAAACCCTTATCAAGTATGTATTGAATCAGCCTTAACTTTAGTTATTCAACGGCAACTGTTCCATACTGTTAAGGTGATAGCCAACTTAAATGTATGATAGCGAACATAACATATAGTGCAGAATAAACAACAGTTTTGAGCAATAAATCAAAAAATTTAATTAAATTCAAACTGGAAAAGGATTATTATTACTCAGCAACAAAAATTCTCTACTTTGATCTCAAGTGGCCGAAAGAAGCATTGTAAATTGAATTATTCATGCTTCCTGGGATTGGACTAAAAATTTGTATGAAATAATTAATAATACCGATATTATCATTTGTATAAACAAATTGTACGAAAAATATAAGTAAACAAAAAACGATGGGAGAAATTGATTATCATGACCAATCTCGGAACTTATGATTACCGATGTTTATTCACCTTTCATTTGGGTGCACTCAACCAACAGCCTTCACAACATAAAAATCTTAAAACTTTGAAGAAAATAAATGGTAAAATTTTTATCCTTCAGTAGAATTAATACCGAGCAGAACGTTGGGTACGCAGCCGTAGGCGACGGTGTACAGCGCGACGAGCAGCATGAGGCTCAACAGCGGCACGAACGTCGCGTCTCGCAGCGCCGCGTCGCCCCAGCGCTCCAGCAGGTAGTAGTAGGGCGCCACGCATCCTGCAACACACACCACGCGACTTCAGCACCCATTTTTGTTTTAACTTATATGTATATATGAATAACTACCATAAACTTATTTTATGGTAGAAGATTTGTTGAAAAAATTTAATGCTGATGTTGGTACGTTACTCGCCACTCTGAACAATGTCATTGTCCATAAGATTAGCTATAATTTGACGAAGTTAAATACGTAAATTTTTTGTCTGTTTAGTTCTAATATTTATGAATTATAGAAAAGCTCTTTATTGAACCATAGTGAAAGATAGGGGTTGTAATGATACTTCAATATATCAAAATATAAGGAGCTACGTCGCGATCACCATAGTGAGAAGTGCGAACCTTCCTAACTTATGCTTCAATAATCAAACAGAAAACAAATACAAAGAGCAGCTGCATGACGTGAGGAACACATACAAGCCCCACCGAGACACACGCTAAGAAATAACAGAACTATGTAATTTTCCGGAAATTCCTCAATATTGAACCATAAATCTAATATGCGTTTGTCAAATTGGTTTGTGTGCGTGTTTGCAGGCGGACATCACTAATATTGGGGCGCGTATCCAGGATACATACCGGGTAGGGATATTCCCTAATTGGGGCACGCATCCAGGATACTTATGACACCTCAAGAATATAGAGGGGCAGTTGGGGCACGCATCCAAGGCAGTTTGGGCACGGATACTTTAAAGCTGAGTCTTGGCAATGCATGAAGCTTTTGGAGGAGGGTTAGGTTTTACTTAACAGTGGTTGGAAATGAATAAGATTTTGCCGTCTCTCTTCCTTAATTGATCGATGCAATTTTATATCACGTAGGGTGAGTGAAGAATCTTAAGTTTCAGTCATTTTTTGAAGAAAGTCGGGCTAAAGAAAGAATCCGCTGATCAGCACGCCCTATATAAGATGTTCACCCCACGCGTCGTTCAGAAAATGACTAACTAATGCGCGATTGGCAAATGCATGGTTGAATTAATACATATAATAATTCAACCATGGGAAAACGGTTCTCCACTCGCGCTCTTAACAAAATTCACAATATTTGCTGGTACGATTAAACATAAAATTATTAAAACATTTACTAAATTTTTTTATCATTCAGGAATTATACGAGTGTTATTCCTGCTCAAAAATTGATGATTAACTGACTGGATATTTTTATAGTGGTTTAATAATGAAATTTATGAAATCCGAAATCAGCAATCGAGATCAAGATAATTTAGTAAGATATTGTTACAGAGGTCGTTATCACGAGTTTGAAGGTTTAATAAATTAATTATGACATTCAAGAGAAATACTAGTGCGAGGATTGAAAACATTTGTAAAATGTTCGGAAATGAATTATATCAAATATATTAATCTGTACATTGGGAAAATTAGTGCAAGTACACACTTAAAAGCGACTGTCGGTTTGTAAGAAAATCATGTTGTACGTCATTATGCTTGAATTTAATATGAATTATAAAGCAAGTGTACAGCAGATTTTAATTTAAGATCTATGGTAAAAATTTGCAAAAATGCTCTTATACTCGTACGGAATATCTCGTTTATTCACTTATTATTTTTGAGAAAGACAGAGTTTTAACTTGAATGTTTTAGTTGCAGCTCAAACAAAATGAAGAATCTTATATCAATTTAAAGTCGATATCGATGCGTGACATCTGTATTTACACAATATTTTACAGAGAACTGATAATATCTTTCTTTTAATGGTACTTTGTTGAAACTGTCACTACGCTGGAGAAAAAATCTTGGACAATTCAGGCTGCTTTTATATGTTAGTGTGTACGTGACCGCTGAATTACTATTATATGCATTGGTAGAGCGATCTGATTTGCCCAACTAGATCGTTATGTATGTAACTGCTATAACGACAGTCTCTTGAGGCGAAACTTGTATGGCGACTGTAGTTGAGATTGCACAAGCTGAAATTGTAACGTATTTGGCAGCTCTAAACATACCCCGAACCCCTGCACATAATCAAGTGTATCAGTGAAAATTTCATGTGTTCTTGCGTGAAACACTCGCCCAAATTTATTTTTTGATCATACTAGCATATTTTGTCATTAATTTGATTGTTACACGACACTTATATCCTTAAATTTGTCAATTCTGAATCATTTCGTTTGCTACTCCTACTAGTGTACCTCGATTTTACCAAAGCATTTGACAGTGTTCCGCATGAGCGGCTGCTGCGTAAAGTGAAGTCTTTGGGAATTGAGGGAAACGTACTCCAATGGATCAGAGATTTTCTAGTAGGTAGACGACAACGTGTCAGTATTAATTAACTGAACCGTGTCAGACTGGGCATCAGTGCGCAGTGGCGTGCCACAAGGAAGCGTTCTTGGGCCTATTTTGTTCGTTGCTTTTATAAACGATTTGCCAGAAGCTGCTCCAAGTATGAACGCGTTCAAGAACAGACTAGATAAAGCTATGGAAAAATATATGTTCAGATTTGAAATGCCTAGCACCTTATCGAACTCGGTGGAAGTCTAGTAGCTACTTCAAACTATCGTCAGTCACGAAAAGATCCAGTCAAATGACACGATTTTATTAGATCTTCTGTGAACAAGGCACGACAAGAAAAAGAATCGGCGACAGGCCACATCAGTCCTACACTTCAGCGCCGAGATCACTATGTTATGTTATGTTTACTTACTTTAAACAATTTATTCTTCGTTCCTTTGGAAACCACAGGTGTTGAGGTCGCGCTAAGTCTGAACGCAGCAACATTGTAAGGAGGAGCATCAAGTTGAACGACGAGGAAATGGCAATATAATCTGCCACTAATATAAACTTATATACTATATATATACTTACAGTTTTAGGGAAAGTTCTCACTAGGTCGATGGCACCGACGTAGGAACATGATGCCATCAAATGAAGACATTTGTTTGATTTAAAGTATAAACACAAAGATGATCATTGTCTAAATTTGAGGGTCATTCTCCAAATGTCCAAATATTGATGTACTTATTGCCTTGTGGGGCTCATCCTCACCCAGTTTGGCCCGGCATAATATTATATGATCGAATGACTGATCGCAATGGTCACTTAATTTCTCTCAGTTTACGCTGTCATTTCAGCATGACCTTGTTTGTCGCGACGTTTTTCCGGTCATCCCACATTATATTGACTTGATTTTTCAACTTCATTTGGAAAAAGTTAGAGGATAAGGTGGACGATACAGAAATGTAATTAAAGCTAAGCACATTTTCTTAGTGAAGCAATACTCTGACAGCTGATAACTGTAATGTAAAAAAGAAATTTGCACAATGTTCGAGTGTAAGATTTTTGTAGGGGAATCGCTGGCGTGTGTTTCTTTCGAAGTAATCTTTTGATCACTCAACGGATGAATTCAAAAAATTGCACCTCCCGCTGTGAAGCCCAAAGGAAATCAGTTTGCATGTCGGTAATGTCTAGGCCTGACCCCGCCTATTCCCGTAAACGCTTGGCTATATAATGCCATGTCAGCTCGATTACTCTCACGAGTCAACGACGAGGTTTGACGAAGTTGGTATACATTCTACAGGTTCGTAGACTGCACGAGGAAATGGTCAAACTTTCGGTGAGCACCGTTTCATTAACTAAAGTAGATATATGTAATACATTGATACTTTAGATACTAGTATCAATAAGGTTTGATTATCTCGTCCTATTCTTGTACCTCGTAGCTTTTTTGCACATTTTTTACAGTTTAATTTGTAAGAGATTAACAATTATCCAAGAGAGATTAACAATTATCCAATTATAATTCGTTGCTTTCGAACTTTCCTCCTTACTGTCTTTCAACCTCTCCTTAATTAATCATTGGAAAATCAAAATGAGTTAATTAGTTTAGCCACTAGAGATCTAATGATGGATTTAGTTGTATAATCATTCCCAGTTCAATTAAATAAATGTTGGTGCGCTAAGTTAGTTGGAAATAAAGTGAACTCGAGGCCGTCAAAATGACCATAATTCTGACGTTAAATTTACTGTTTTCAATTTATAAGACGCAAATTCTGTTCACGACTTACTGAAGTGTCTATTCTACTGATTGATTATTTAGTTAATAGTGATAGTTTGGCATAGTAGACTGTAATTAAGTCGCAATATAGACCTGCTCTCGTATGTATTCTGTTCCGAATTTGCTCAAGGGTTTCTTCAATAATACATATTGATCAATTATTCAGTATTTATAAAATTTGCTCCAGTAAATTTCTTACATTCAATGCTAAGTTTATTTTAATGAAAGTTAAATGAGTAAAATAATGCATAGGAAAATATTTAGCATATTTTGTTGGCAGATATTAGATTTGTTTATGATTTTATTAGTTCACGTTGATAGATTAGTTATTCTTTATAACCATGACATCACGACCAAGCCCGAGTTCCGTATAACAGCGAAGACACTGAAGTTAAGCTGCATAATGTTTGATGTCATCTGTTAAATGTTGATAACAAATTAAACGTACTTATTGCATGATTAACTGAGCCACAAGTCGCTTGGTGTATGTCATTTAGCATAATATTTGATATTATCTGTGCAGGAAGATGTCCATCATTCTTTTGTGAGCACAGCAGCAGTGATTCTACTTCTGGTGAGCATCTTCTTGTTGTTGGTTTTTCTGCAGAATCTAAATCACTAATTTAAATATTTTTGTAATATCTAAGTTTTATACGAACCAATATTTTCATATTTATGCCTTGACGTATCTCATGTCTCAATATAGATAATTATGAAATTTCAATCAATCTAACACATATATAGATAGAATCGAGATGCCCATTTGACTAGATGCAAGCTTTTCAATAATAACTTCACATCCACAAATGCTCAATGTTATTGGCGTTGTTGCAGTCTCAGGTCGGTACAATGAAGCTCGTCCGCAGGCCAACTTTGTTATGTTTCAGTTGGTGCAGTCAGGAGCTGCAGCGATCACACTCAGGCCCAACACCCGCATGGAGTTCGCCTCCTTGAGCTGCGCTCTGTCGCGTGTGTGTGAGGATTGCTACAATCTCTTCATGGAGATCTACGTGTTCAGCAGCTGCAAGTGAGTGACTACAATAACCTATAGTCTTAAGTCACGGAATTGTCGCGTGTGTGTGAGGATTCTACAATCTTTTCAGGGGGATCTGTACGTGTTCAGCAGCTCAGACTGTATGAATACATATACAACCACTTTGGTTCGGGTTTGCTCGATATACGAGAATTATTCCTATTCTTTTATAACATTCCTTTTCCAAGAATGTATGTTCATCAAAATTATAGCAAGGGCACCATGTATTTAACAAGGAATTAAAAGTCATTCGGAATTAAAAGTCACTGAATTTACGGTACCGGTTGCTGTTCTGGTACATCTAAGAAAAGTAATATTCAATTTATTCAAAAAATGACTTGCTGAATAGATTTCTACGCAGTACAAGTAACTTTGCGGCATATATGCCATTCTTAACTCTCCTACCTAATTTCTGACGCACTGCACTTCACCAGATCAAACTGCTTCCGCAACGAGATGTTCCCGAAGTGCGTGAGTTACCTGCTACTGGACAACCGCATGGGCGACTTTGTTAGGAAAATCAACTTGGCCAGCGGTGACCGCTGAGCTGACCGCGGTGTCCACTGAACTGTCCTCGGTGGCCACTGAACTGTCCTTGCTGGAAACTGAACTGACCTCGGTAGCCACTGAACTACCCTCGGTTGCCAATGAACTGCCCTCGGTGGCCACTGAACTGCCTTTGGTAGCCACTGATGCGCCTTCAGTGGCCACTGAACTGATAACGGTATGATGTCGGTATCCACTGAAAAGCCCTCGGTAGCCACTGAATTGCCCTCGGTTGCCACTGAACTGTCTTAGTTGGCCACTGATATGCCTTCGGTGGCCACTGAACTGCCCTCTGCCCTCCGCCCTTTGTTGCCACTGTCCCCAATACTCCTGGCTCTACGGAAATACTTCTGCTCGCTACACTGGCAGCGAGCCGACCTTGTATGTCAGCACATTATAAAATCCGGCCTATCTTAAAAGGAATGGTAATTAAATTACTACTTTAAAAATGAGTGCACAAGAAATTGAGTATAGGGGTTGTTCTAAAAAATTGCGGTGGATATCTGTGAATTTTTCTGCTTCTATGACTCTAACATCGCATGAGAAATCGCCTGGAGAAAATTACAACATTAATAATAGTTTGCATTTTGATGTTAAATGTAAAAATGCGACATGCACATTGTTGATATTAAAAGGTCAATTTATTTGTAGATAATTTTATGGAAATAATCTTTTTTATTCCAATTGAGCAAAGAAGTAACAAAATGATAGCCTATAGATTAAATTGTATTATAATTTTCAGTACGCGCATTAGGAAAATGAATACATCTATATCAATTACGAATTAATTTCGATACAGCGACGATTTTTTTCTTTACATTAATTTTATAACACAAGGCCCTAAATTTTAGTATCCTGTCGAGACGAATTATAGCGATAAGAGTTTAAAAAAATTGTTAATTATTAAAAATTTTTGAAAATTTTCAAAATATTTATGGGATTCCACTTTAAACCTTAATATTGGTATATGTTCATTGAAGTTGCATTGTTTAGCAGGTATACTTATTTTCGCGCGCACTTTGAACGGTCTCTTTAACTTGTTTTGCGCTGGATAAAGCAAATTTAAATCAATATTATTTCAATGAATAAACATTAGGAAATCGAATGATTTTATGTTTCTTTTTCTATTCCAAAACAAATGTGCTTCAGTAATTATTCACTACATTGATGATATTTATATTCACAGAATATTTATATTTCATCGTCAATCCTCAAATCAAAATGTAAATTCAGTGATGTAAATATATTATTTCGCACCTCGTAAATGGCTTTTCATGGCCGAGATATGGAATTCACGGCTCGGTGAAATAGAATCACGGCTCGTAGAAATGGAATCACGGCTGGCAAATCCATAAAACCACGGCTCGAAAAATTCAGTCGCGGCTCGCCAAGTAGATATATTCCATACTAGGTCTAGCAGAGAGTTTTTTAGATTCTCCTTCAGCTTCAGCCTTCAAGTCCTATAAGTAGACCAGAAAAGTATCATTGATTATTGATACAGGCAGCATCATACATAAGATATTAGCTTAAATCTTGGGTAAATGAGAAAATGAAAAATGAACTGATTCTAAAAAATCACTGGTTTGCCACACTACCTAGATGTTGCTCAGAAGTGCCGTAACTGGCCTGTAAGTAAGCCTAGGCCGCCCACCTGGCGGTCCCAGCCCAGGGGGGCAGGTTGTCAATGTCTGATTCAGATGGCCTGACAGTAACACCAGCTCTTCTGCAACTGCAAGTCTGCATCCTCAACACTTCACACTCAGGAGTCAGGACTCAGGATGATGTATGTTTTTGTGGGAATTTTCCCGCGCATTATGAGTTTTTGGAAGTCATAGGTCTTCGCAGTTTGCGCAAAATTATCTAAATATTTCCTCTTTATGCAGGTGTTCACGCAATTCCAGCCATCAATCAATTCTACACCGTGCAACTTCACCACAAGAGCAGTTTGCCAAGGAGCAGACAAAATAATCAGTAGGTACAGACTGTACAGTATGCCTCAGCAGCCAGCTATGCCTTTAATTATCCTTCAATACTATGTAATTTTTCTTGACACGGAAATTTGGTGAATGAGAAATTTAGAACTTTATTTTAGAGAAATTTTCTTCAAGCATATGGCATCACCGCAAACCGCTTGTTTACATTTTGTGTCTTTAACAGCCGCAGTTTACGATTACCATATGTTCTGTATCCGGTAAGCGGAATGTCAGAAGTAACCCGGACTCGGACATGTCTTAAATATTATTATTGTTGATTTGACTCGCGGAGTTTTTATGAACTGATGACCAACAAAATCTAACTTTTTAATAGAGATTTCATGTTTATTAAACTTCAAGTAAATAAGAAATAAGTAATATAAATAAGTAAATAAATAACCTTTTTTAATTACAGGGTCAAGCCGGTCAGCAATATTTAGCATTGTTATAAGAATTAGCTAAGCTGCTAGCTATCAATGTACAATGTATTGTAACACTTGATGCCTCTAAACCAAAAAACATACAATTCACACACATAACATAGTACACACTAAAGGCAACAAGTTTATATTCCAATTTGATGTAGTACATTCATACTAAACCATGAATAACAATAACAAACAGGGTAAAAAGGGATGGGCGGGGTAAAAAGGGACAGTCCTCCAACATTTTGTAGAAATGTTGTAGCAGCTTAACTAATTAAAATATTGCAAAACTAAAAATAGTGATGTAAAGTTCAACATTTTTACTGTCTATGCAGCATAAAGCAAGTTGAGAAATCATACGTTTATTACCTCTACAAAGTCCCTGGAAAAAGTGTGAAAAGTGAGATTTGGAAAAAGTACCTCTGATAAGGTCTGTAGCAGAAAAAATATGTCTTATTGAAAAATTTTACTTACATAAAAATTGCGCACTACCGTCAACCGGGGCTACTCAGGACTGGCGGGGTAACTTGGGAGAGTCCTCCAACACGGCGTAAAACTGTTTTAGTAGCAAAACTAATTGGAATACTGCAAAACTAAATATAGTGGCATAAACGTCAACATTTTTCCTATCTATGTAGTATAAAGGAAGTCAGAAAATACTAAATTTACTAGCTTTGGAAAATTCATGAAAAAACTTGTGAAAAATGCTATTTTGAAAAGTTACTTCTGCTAAGGTCTGTAGTAAAAAAAAATATTTGCCGTATTAAAAAATTTTACTTACTTAAAAGTTGCACCCAGGTGTCGGCTTGAAAACTTTATTTGCAGAATTTACATACCTCAATCCCAAAAAAAATGGCAGCCATTTCCGCACAGCAGGGCTACTCGGGACACCCCCAAAAATGCATTTACAGTAGAACCTCAGTAAGCAAAGGCTCCGGTTAAGAAAAAAATTGATTAAAAACAAAGAATATTGATTACATTTACCTCGCTCAGCAAAAAAAATTTCACTTATCAAAAAATTAGTGCATCATCGGTCATCACAAAATTGTGCATAGAATGTCCTATATAGAATTGTGCACCAGGCATCATAGAATGAAAAGTAATTGACCTAAACTATGATTTATTTCTCCAAAACATAAGATGGTTGTTACTAAAACATTCCTTTCTGTTTCAGATGTTTTTCACGATCTTTTTTTATAGCAAATTCACTTAACCCAATTAAATGGTGCGAAATTACAAGCCGTCCTGTAAGCTTACAGATACAGAAAAAATGCTATAAGGCTGCTGATATGAAGCTTGCAGTGGACAAGGTTGTTGTAAATGCTCAATGGCATGTTCATGGATACGGTAATATCACATCAATAATACAGTAATTAATGTATATGGCAATATCATATCAATAAAGGAAAAACAAGTAAAAATCACAGAAAATGTCATTTATTCTACCTCTACATCATCTACAATGAAAGAGGAGGACTTCAGAGTACTGTTAGTAATGAATGAGTACACTCTGCATGCTTCAAATGTTTTAAAATGAAGTTTTATTTCAAGTGTCCCAAGTAGCCCTATTTGACGGAGCTACTCGGGACACTCTTTTCTTGCTTTTGGCACCTTACAAATATCATATGGAATTTTTTGGAGAAGCCATGTGATAGCCCTTGCAAAGAGCTTTGAAATGAGCCTAAACGTGTTTATGAAATGTTTCATGGTGAGAAGTTATGGATGAAAAACTTTCAAAATCGTCCTGAGTAGCTCCAGTTGATGGTATAATTTTACTTGTCAATAGTTTCTAGAGAGTTCAGCTAAAAGTGAAATATTTCTTATTTTGGTTGTGTTTGAAGAAACATGAAGAAAAGTTTAAGTTTTCTGTTTCTGATAGGTGTTCCTCATCAAGTTTGTTATTGCCATCATTATATTATTATTGCCAATAACTCAGTTGGCTTGGTAGCTTGAGTGTATT